AGCCTGTAGTACTTCAGTCTAGTTCCTTAATCCTTGTAATTCTGTGGTTTTTACATGTTTAACCAGCACTTGTCAACTGTGTTGATGTAACAAGAAGCACTGCAGTGTTACTATTTAGGAGAGGAGGTGATTTCATTTTACTTGGATCAACATTCATGTACCCATCATCAGTCAAGAAGTTCAGTGACATATCATGTTGGGCATATCTGCGGCAAAGGTTTTCTTGAGGGTTTTAAAAAGCAAAAAGATCACTTTGAGGACGAAGGTGGACCTGACCCAAGCCGTGGTCTTTTCCGTGATCGCATATGCATATGAACACCAGGCAATGGACAAAGGAGACTGAAGAATTGATACGTCTGAACTGTGGTGTTGGGGATGACTGTTGAGTGTATTGTCCACTGCCAGAAGAATGAGTGAACTGATCTTAGAGAAAATACAGCCCTTAGAAGTGAGGATGGCGAGACCTCCAGCCTTTCAGAGGAGCCCCTTCTCTCACATGGCACCAGAGCACAGCGTCTTCCTCTGTGGTCGTTCGACATGGCAGGGAAGAGTCGTGTGATGAATAGCCATTCCCCCAGGACTGTAACTCCAGGGCTGCAGGAACTGCATCTGTGTTGACTGGCACATAATAGTCATTCAGTAAATACTGGCTGACAAGCTAACTGGTCTTCTGGTTGACTGACTGCATACGCCCTCAGATAGCTGCAAATGAAATGCTTTAAAGAGCCCCCCGAAAAGATTTAATTTTTGAAATGAGCCTGACATAAGATTACCACACTGCTGCCTCGAGGCCGGTCTGATGAGTGGTTGTGATTATGATCGTTGCTCAGCTTCAGGGGTTCGTAGTGTTTATTATAATAAAGAAATTGCTGCGTTTGTGACCTCTTGTTAGCCTTTTCCAGGAAACTCTCATTTGACTGACCTTGCCATAGGAAACACTCCACTTTCTCTTGGCAGCCCAAACACGAGCCTCTCATCATCTTCTGTGATCTCATGGGCGTGGACTGCGAGGAGATGAGTCACTGGCTCTGCCATCGGAAGCTGGCTACCGCCGCAGAGACGTACATCAAGCCCATCTCCAAGCTGCAGGCCACAAATGCCCGCGATGCTTTGGCCAAACATATCTACGCCAAGCTCTTTACCTGGATTGTTGATCATGTCAATCAGGCCCTCCATTCTACCGTCAAGCAGCATTCCTTCATTGGCGTGCTGGACATTTATGGGTAAGGATATTTGGCTTATGCGTATTTCTAGAGTTTTCCCCTAAATGGAAATTGGATTCTAGCTCTCCGACTGCCTGTAGCAATTCAAGCCTTGATGATGGGGATGTCAGGAAGTGTTGCTGCTAGGGTTCCGGCTCAGACATGCACCCAGTGTGAACACACTGGTGACCAGTGGATTGCTGCAGACACTTCTTTCGGTAGCACACTTATCTTGGTCTCTGGGGGTGCCGTCAAAACGAGGTTCAATCAAAACTGGCTTCTGAGAGGATCTGCTGGGCCAGAAGGTTGTGGCAGTCATTTGGGGGCTACTAGTACCACAGGGATCTTCTCGGTAGATTTTCATCAAGGACACAGGATGATCCTGGGACATAGTACGAAAAATGTTAAGAGAACGGAAAACTGAATTGGTGGGGAAAAAGCTTGGGGAATTTGGCCAAGGAATCCCCCTCTCCCCTCCCTATCTCATCCACCCTACAGCCCCAACCTTGCCCCTTGGGCTTCTTTTGGTCTCCAAACTCAGAGAACATTGAAATGGAACATAATGTGAGTTCCTCAGGAGCATGAAAACTGTTTTGATGCGGTCTAGGTGGAAGAATGCAGAATGCTGTAGAGAAGGGCTAGAGGGATGCAAACCCTGCCTTCAGAAATGGATGCTTCTAGATGAAGGCTATGTGAAGAAGCAATAACTGCATGTGTTGATATTTTTGTTGAATGAAGGTTTCTGTTATTTTATAGCAAAACTTGTTGCCTTACCCTCATGTAATTGTGATATATA